CCATCTGATGACTTTCTTTCTTGAATTAATCAAGCAGAAAAGACAATTCTCTATGATCATCACTGTTTTACAAAATGTTTGATAATCAAAATTGTGTTAGTTCACCCAATATTACAGGTTGAAAAGAACTACTCATTTTTATTTTACATAAACAGTAAGTAATGATTTTTATTCCTCATTCAAAGAAGAAATCAGGTTAATATGCATTTCTTGATTTTCTGTCTGAAATGAGCCAAGCAATGTAAGTGTGTTAAAGGTCGGTTTTCGGTCAACTAAAATGTTTACCGAGAAAGATGTCATGTTTAAACTTTTGCAGAAGATTATAAGTGTGAGACTCCACGAAGTCTGAAGTCCTACAATAATCTTTCTGTTTGTTACTAAACAATCCTTGACTTTTAATAACATCTTACATCATACACCACACCTCTATTCCTGGTCCATCGACCAATCAAAAGCTCTCAAATGAACCGGAAGTCGACCCATTTAAAATGTGGCAACTTCCCAGTTCATGTTAGAATTCAGGAGAATTCCAGAGAATTCTAGAGCCTGAGGAGATGAAGAACTCCAGAGTTGCTGGAGTTGAAAGATTCTGTTAGAGTCTGAGAAGTTCTGAAGAATGAAAGGAGTTCAGAGTTCTTGGGTGCAAACGCGTTCAGGATGATCCAGAGACGTTTTGGGATTATAACTTCTGTTTGAACAAACCACACACGACTATCTAAGGATTTCAGCTGCTCTCAACGGAGACGCTGAAAAAGTCTGGAGGATTCTCTATCGAGCTGATCTACGTCAACCAGGTAACAGTCTCCTCTTCGACTAAAGTGTACCGGAGGCAAGCTGAGATCTGATGAAGCGTGCACGTTCTGGACAAACAGATTAATTCCCTCACATATCTCTCTGTAAGATAAATCTCCATTTCATCTTAAACTCTTCTCTCTCTTCTAAAATCAGTACAGATATCTTAGGAATATCTGAAGCAAAGTCCTCGATCACCGCCGAGTGATTCGAAGTTCATTTTCTGTGAAACTTGTCTGTTATTATTTTCATATTTTGCCAAATTAATGTAAATGTTTGATGTTAAACTTTGATTCTGAAAATAAATGACCGCATTCATTTTGATGGGTCAAAGATAAATAACGTCTCTCGTTACATTTCTGTTAAACTCAATGCACGACATTACACAGTCAGAAAGATGAGGAACTCGTGAATATTGTATGCATATATATCTCATATATTGTCATACTACATTGCCATAAAGACCTGGACAAAGTCAGCCTGTGGCACAGGCTGTATAGGCAAACGATAAGGGTGCCGTCCATCCAGGGGGTGCCACAAATACACAAAAAATAGTTTGTATATACAACAAAATATATACAACAAAAATTTCAATAGATCCCGTCTTTGTTGCAGATTGAAAGTAACTTCAGTTGAATGTGGTTTGTTTTTTAATAAATAGTTTATAAAATTGGATGTCAGCTTATATTGCGTGACAGCCTGAGCTGTGATGAAAATTACTGTAGTCATGTAGGAAACTCATAGCTAACATTTCTGTGGGAAGTTTGTAAAGATTACATTTATTTGGCAGGTGTTATACATTTATCTAGAATTTATTGTTTGTCTATATAATATGTCCTCACATATTTTATGATTACAGCATTATCGATGTTGGAGACACTTGTAGGTGTAAAAAGTGAAGCGCAGTAGGCAGGCATGGAGGAAACCATTCCTCCCATCCTGACAACCTGAGACCTGTTCATGAGGAAATCCAGAACCCAGTTGCGGGTGGTAGTCACGACTCCTAGGTTGTCCAGCTTCCCAACCAGCTTCACAGGCCGAATGGTACAGACGGCAGAAGTGTAGTCAAGGAAGAGAATCATGACATACTCTCTTCTAAAGTCCAGGTGCTGCAGAATGTGGTGTAGGGCTATGGCAACCTCAACGTCCACTGACTTGTTTGGACGATAGGTGTGACATGTCCCTGTGTCACTTATGTCAATGTGTGTCTAATTAATTAATTTGCTCTCTCTCTCTGAACAACTGATTGGCCGGAAGCAGTTTAAAAGGACCAAGCTCCGCCTACAGGATGAGCGAGGGAGGCCAAAGGAGTGACGTTGTTCTGATGGTTGTTGGCTTTTTGCTCCAGTTCACTCCCGTTCCTGTCAGAGATACCTGTGGTTGCACCTTGTCACTGAATCATTGATCTGTTTGTTGTTGGGACTGGAAGTTACCGGCTGTCATTGTGTTTATGGTTTTTGGTATTAGGGTTAGTCCCTGGGTCATAGGGTGAGGGCGGTGGCCCAAATTTGACAGTCAACTGCTGGCTGGATTGGGGCTTCTCCCTCTTTTGTTTGTTTTAACCGGGGCTCCCAGTTTGTATATGTGTTCAAGTGATTGATGATTAAAGTTTAGCCTAAAGTGTACCAACATCTGGGCTTCATATGTTATGTGTCCTGCCATTTACTCCTGGACTTTTCAGGACCACAACATATTTGGGGGCTTGTCTGGGATAAATGTGATTCCACATTTATTGGGACTCGTTTGGTTCTGGAGATGTTAACATGCTTGGGTGCTCGTTTAATTCATAGCATATTTAAGGGTCCATCCATTATCAGCGTGGCTGTTGACAGTTTGCTTGCAGCACATCAGTGTGGGTGACGTGTTTGTTCACACCCTCCGTTAGTGAGACGTGTCATCATCTTGTGTCAGGCTGCTGTGGTGACGTGTGGCTGCGTAGCTGAAGCACAGGATTTAAGTTTTCCTAAGCTACATGTTTTTTTTGTTTGTTTGTGGCAGTGCATAATTTTGTAATTTGGTGTTGGTAAGGAGTGTATTTCCCTCCTCTATTTGCACTTTTGTGTGCTCCACTTCATGAACAGAATGGAGTTCAACGTGGAGAATTTTGCAACTATTGAAAAATTTGATTGCGGCACAAAAGAGCAGCTGTTGGCAATTGTTTCTCATTTTTCAATTTTGGTGTCTAAACAGTTAGATAAGAAAGCAATGAAATCTGAGATTTTCTCTGCTCTGACCAAAGCTGGTTTTCCCTCAGATGAATCCTGATGGTGGATGAAGAGTTTGAAAAATCCTCATCTGATCTTCATGAACTTGATTTAAAAGTTGAACACAGATGCCTGGCCCTTAAGAGAAAAAGAGCTGGATCATGAATTTGAACTCAGAAAACTGGAGCTTGAAACTCAGATGGAGGTTTGACTAAAAGAGCTCGAGCTGAGTGGTTCATGCCAGCTTCTTCTGAGTTTGATGTGTCAAAGTGCATCCGTCTGGTACCACCTTTTTCTGACAAAAATGTGGACAAATATTTTGTCCTGTTTGAAAGGGTGGCTAAGATGTTAAAATGGCCTAAGCAGGTGTGGCCTTTATTGTTGCAGTGTGTGATCACAGGTAAAATCAGGAGACGTATACTATGCTTCACTTTCACCAGATCTTAGTCTGGATTATGATAACGTGAAAGCAGCTGTGCTCAGGGCATACGAGTTGATGCCAGAGGCTTATAGGCAAAAGTTTCACCATCTGAGCAAAACTGAAAGTCAGAGTTACGTTGAAATTGCTCACGAAAAGGATGTCCTTTTTGATCGCTGGGGTTTTGCACAAGACATAAAAAGTTTTGATCAATTGCGAGATCTGATCCTAATGGAGGAGTTTAAAAGTTCTGTATCTGAACCGATTGCAACTTATATTAATGAGCAAAAAGTAAGTGAAGTTTCTAAGGCAGTTGTACTTGCTGACGAGTATGTGTTGACTCATAAAGCTGTGTTTGAGAAGCAGATAAATGTGGAGTAGTGCAATGCCCCTGCCGTGTACTATGTGGGATATGACATGAAGATGGAGCGTGGTTCAGAAAAGGGAGCAGGTAAGATCAAGCCCCTTTGTGCTCACTGCAGAAAACCTGGTCACATTCGACCCGTTTCCTGCTTAATTCAATTAAATTCAGTTTATTTATATAGCGCAAAATCACAGCAAAGTTGTCTGTCAGCTTCAGAGGGTACAGAACGCTGCTGCACAGATTTTAACTGGCACATGAAAGTTTGATCACATTTCTCCTGTTTTAGCCTCCATGCACTGGCTTACCGTACATTCCAGGATTCATTTAAAAATAATTTTATTTGCTTTTAAAGGTCTTAATGGACTTGCCCCGCCCTATCTGTCCGAGTTGCTGCATCCATACACACCCTCTCGATCCCTCAGGTCATGTGATCAGCTGCTCCTGAGTGTAAGCTCAGAGGAGACCGTGCTTTTGCTGTGGCAGCTCCTAAACTGTGGAACAACCTTCCCTTGAACATCAGACAGGCCTCTTCCCTGTCTGTTTTTAAATCCCTTCTTAAAACCATTTCTTCTCCGTGGCCTTTGACACTATCTGAGATTTTCACTTTTAATCATTTTAATCATTTGTATTATCTGTAGTGATGTCAGGACAGCTTTGCTGTAGACACACTACTAATTAATTATTCTTAAAGCTAGTTCAAGCACAAAGAATATTAATTGTTTAATTACAACGGATTCTTTCTTTTTCGAGTTAAATTTCTGCCATGTGACCGAGATAACTGTGAGTGGATTGTTTAATCAGTGACATGAGACGGCATTTTATCTTTGACCCATCAGAATAAATGCGGTCATTTATTTAACAGAATCAAAATTTAACATCAAAACATGTATACATTGATTTGCTGATCTGTTTCTGATTAATAAAAACTTGGCACGCTTTACTAACAAGACAACAGAACATTACTGATTGAGGCTGATTCACCTCTGACGACATCTAGATTACTGGCGAATAAAAGTTTAAGAGAAGGAGTAGAGAAGTTTAAAGATTTTAAAGATGGATGAAGGAAGATGTATGTTTGTGACCAGAATTAGCACGCTTCTTTCAACACCAGCTCAACCCCCCGGTCCACTTAGTGCGTGACAACTCGTGACATCTCTTTACCTTTGCAGAGAATAGATCAGCTCCGGTATAGAGGTCCCTTTGCACGCTACCTTTCAGCGTCTCCGGTCAGGGTGGCTGGTCATCGTCAGAAGTTGTGTGGTTTACTCCGTTCAAGAGAACAAGCTTCCTTCGAAGTTGTAGGACGTTATGCCCGGGTGAGTTCACAGCGAGGCGCTGTGACTCTGGTGGGATGGACGGACCCTCGTCTCACGGTCAAATCCATCAGCTATTGATTAAATCTGAAAGTTCCTTAGGAACTCTCAGTAAGACTCCAGTCAGAAATTCCACTCAGAAGTGGAAGACTCCTGGGAAGACTTCATAGAAGAAGACTCAAGGAAGACCCAAGGAAGACTGAAGGAAGACTGAATAGTCCCAGGAAGTGTTGACTTTTTAAAGAGTACTCACTTCCTGTCACTTGGTACTTCCTGATTGGTTGAAACAACCAGCAGGGGGGTGGTTCTAGTGATATCAAGAGGGTTACTAGGTGTCAAAAAGACAGCAAGAATGTTTAGGAACGGTTAATACAGACAGAGAAATGTTTATAAGAGGTGAGAGGAAGCAGGTGCCAGTTGCTTCTTATTTACTGTCTGCTGAGTTTTAAAACAAGGCACTTCGTTCTCATAACTTGCTTTCTGACTTCTGACCGACATCCCTGACTTCTAACCGACATCAAATCCACTCATTCAGACAGAAGATCAAAATGCACACTTACTTTGTAAATAGACATTTAACTTGATTTCTAAGTCTAATGAGGTTTAAAAATCATTAATACTGTTTCACAGTTGATTTAAATGAGTGGTTCACTTCAACATTTAGAAATGGTATGAACTAAACACACTTTGATTATCAAGATATTCTAAAATAGTAATGATAATGTAAAAAAGAAGAGTGTTCTTTCAATTGATTAATTCAGGATACAATTAAATAGTCTCTTGATGAGATAATTTGTATTTCTGGATTCAGATCAATGAAATAACAGTTCCTGTCCCCTGAAGGTCTTCAGAGACAGGTTGAGGTCGGAGGCCGAGTTCACTACATATCTGATTTGTATGATTGTTTGCTTACACAACTTTTATTATCTGACTTTTAATCATTTTCATGATTTTTATTATCCGACTGTATGATTGTTTTGTTGTGTGTACAGCACTTTGGTCCTGTTGGTGTTTCAAGTGCGCTATTAATAAAGCTGGTATGGTATTAGGTGTCTTTAGGGCTTAATTTGTATACCGATCGATGCTGGAACGCAAATAGCGGGTGAGCTGGTGAGGAGGGGTGGTTTGGGGGTCCTCCCTCAGAAAATTTTGAATAAATTAGATACATTTTCCTGCATTTTGGTGTATTTTAAGGGGTTGTTAAACATCTACGTTTACTTACATTTGTAAACACTCCACTTGTGTCAAGCATCCTACACCCCTACCTCTTACTTGATGGTTCCGAGCCCAAGCAGCTCAGTGGCCGGACATCCAGCAATTAAAGTAACTATGTAAAAACCCAAATGTTACAATGATCTGTTACTTTTGAAATGTGTTTGTTTTATTGCAATGAATCATAAATGCAATAATCAGAAACCAAAACTCAAACCCCAAACCCAGACACCCCCCCCAATAAAGATTATGAACTCATTGGTGGGCTGGACAGAAGTCACCCGCGGGCCAAAAGTGGGTCGCAGGCCACCAGTCAAATAGCCCTGGTCTATACTTTTCATTGTGAAGGACTTTGGATTATATTTATGTTTAACAAGTACTACTGTATATAAATAAAGTAAGGTGTCTCCTCACCTGTAAGCATGATGATGAGCGGCAACGTGCAGTCCTCTGGTGAGCCCCAGTATCCGGCTTCAGCCAGCAGGTTGTGCTCTAAAACCTGGTGGTAAAGCTCCTCAATCCATGTTTGGGACATTATTACAAGGACTCCGCTGCTTTGGATCAGATGCACAAACTCCTTCTGCAGAAAGAAAACAATAATAATCAGCTATGTTCAGACTTATTGGGTTTGATCGTTTTTCTCCCACATTATGCTCACCAGACTGAGGGCAAGTGGAAGCTCTCGTTGTCTGTAGTAGTCACAGCAGCAGAGCTTCAGATTGAGCAGCAGAGTGTAGTATGACACCAGATAGAGACCATCTGCGTTCATCAAAATCTGGCAGCTCAGACTGTGACCTGCTTCAAAACAGAGTTGGAGTGTGTCATACATCAGGACTATACTTCTGTGAAGTTTTACTTCATGAAACAAAGCTGTGGTGAACTGTCCTCCCTGGTTCAGTCACCCAGATCTGGAAAATGACGAGAATAGACATCTGCTGTTGTTATCAGCAGAAGATGCCATACCAAAAATTCCATCTATCAAAAAAACTTAGTGTCTGCCTTCTCTAAGTCAACAATAAAAGTGACATGAGTTATCAGAACATTTAAATACTTTTTACAAGCTTCAAGGCTCCAATCTTCACACCATCATCAATTCTTTAGCTGAGACTCAAAAACAGTACCCCCGACTGACATGACTCATTAATGTATAAATGAATTTGGTTTAAATGATAAGTCTTCTGATCTTCCATAAGTAAGTTACTCTGAAAATGCTTTAATAACCTTGTAAGTTCTCAACCTTGACCTCTCTAAGTGGCTTCAAACATCTGTTAAGTTTTTGGCAAAAACCAATGCAGACATGTTCCTGTTTTTAGTTTTCTACATGCCTTATAATCTAGCCGTTTTTGTTTCCTTTTTAATACCATTTTCTTTTATTTATTCTCAATTTGTATGCTTTTTATGATTGTCTACTGTTGTTCTATTTCGTATAGGCTTCTCCCTTTAAGACTGTCGTCAGTGGGTTTATCCCTAGGCGCGCAGCGCTGAAAACTTTAGTCCACGCCCATCTGCTGTGTGGGCCTCACCCCCGGTCTGTATAAATTACAGTGAGACTGGGTAATCGGCTCCCGTTTTTTCTTCAGCCAGCTAGCTAGCACTGTCAGAAGAACGAAGAAGGAAAAGTTGTCCAGTTTTGACCGGCACAACCTTTGCTAAGGATGCCTGGGTCTCCACCACGCCAACCTCCTGCCGTCCCGGTGAGCTCTTCCTCCCTGAGGAGAAGCAGACGAGCAGCCTTGTTCAAGGTAAGCGCCGAGGAGTGTTTTCCATGGCGGGCTGCTACCCGCTGGAAGACGCCATTGCCGTTTCTAACGTTTTTTTCCCTGCGGTATTCGAATGATTTCCTCAAAAGGGAGCGGGGCGTGAAGTTGCTGCCGCAGCTGTGGAGCACCTCTGCTGCTGTTGCTGGCCAAGGCGGTCCCTCCAGCGGCCGGAGGGGCGTGAGGAGGACTGTGACGTCACCAGATGGTGTACAGTCTCTGAGACCTCCTCGGACCTCTGTGATTTCTCAGGGATGGTCCTGAAGTTGGCCCCGAACAGTGCCTCTGGGGTGATGGGGCCCTCCAGCAGGTCTTTCTGCAGCCTCTCTGACAAGGATGGCAAGAGGCGGAACCAAGTGGTCCTCTGGATCATAGTCATCCAGGTGGTGATGCATGACAGGCAGACCGCAGAGGTGGCACATGTTTAAGATGACATCAGCAGCTTTACAGAGAGAGAGCTCTTTGTCTCCTCCAGCAGGTCTGCTTCCTCCAGCCTCTTAAGAGATGCTGTAGGCCAGCAGGGCGACGTTGTTGTTCGCTGCGGCCGTCTGGAATGTGCACTGGTGAGCTCGGTCCGAGGGAAAACACACCAATCGGGAAAAACCATCCACTATAGAGATGGAGGCGAAGGTGGAGACTGATGTCTTCAGCTATCCGGGCCCAGCTGCAGCCTTGTTCCAGTGTGACGTCACAGCTGGACAGCGAGGCCAGATGGGGTCAGGGCGACGAGCCGGGGCGGAGCCAAACTTGCCGCCAGATCATCCAATCAGGGTGGAGGGAGGAGAGGGACAGAAAGTCCCTTGTGTTAGCATCCTCCTGGATTATGCTGGGCAGCTCTGAGAGGAGGGCGCCGATGGCTGGGAGCGGTGTGGTCGCCGACGTGGGAAGATCCGAGGTGGCTGAGCATCCCCTCGGCCACTCGTCTTCCGTCACTACGCCCTCCAGGAGGGAAGGGGCAGCTCCGCATCGCCTTTCTTAGAGGAATCATTCGATTCACTGTGTGACTCTGCATTAAAGAAGGCGGTGGCGTTGTCAAGCGCATAGCGTCCAGCCACAGAAAAACACACTCAGTGGCGCTGATGCCAACAACGCCTTTTTCAAGGGAATCATCCGATTCACTTAGAGAAAAACACACGTTAGAAAAGGTGGTGGCGTCGTCCAGTGAGTAGCGGCCCTCCACGGAAAAACATTCAGCGGGGCTGCTGCTGCTAACATCGCCTTATTTGAGGAAATCATTCGATTACCGCGGGGGGAAAAACGTTAGAAACGGCGATGGCGTCATCCAGCGGGTAGTGGCCCACCATGGAAAAGCACTCCTCGGCGCTTACATTGAACAAGGCTGCTCGTCTGCTTCTCCTCGGGGAGGAAGAGCTCACTGGGACGGCAGGAGGTTGGAGTGGCGGAGACCCAGGCATCCTTAGCATCCTTCTTCATTCTTCTGACAGTGCTAGCTAGCTGGCTGAAGAAAAAATGGGAGCCGATTACCCGGTCTCACCGTAACTTATACGGACCGGGGGTGAGGCCCACACAGCAGGTGGGCATGGACTAAAGTTTTCAGTGCTGTTGTAACGCTAATTAAGGCTAGGCGCCTGACTATGGCCAGTATAGTTATAGGCAATCAGAAAGGTTCGGCTGAGGAGCTCGTGTGTGTGAATAAAACACAGTCAGACAGAAAGTAAAGTTAACTTATTGTATTTAAAGTGGTACATTTATGTAGATTTAGTTAGATATCTTATGATAATAATAATAATAATAATTTCCAATAAACATAAGCAAATAAACACAGCAAGGAAAAAACACAAAACAATAGCAGGACAGAATAAATAAACCCCGATGACACCCAAGAGTTTTTTTTCTATTTTCTTTAAGTCCGTTCTGGAGTCTAGCGTGACTATTGTCCATCAATCAATACTCCACAGTTTTAAATCCATGATCCAGGGCAATATGTCCAGAAAAAAAATAGTTGGTGTGATTCAGTCCTACCGCGAAGCTGCGGTGATCTGGTAGCTCGCCATCCTGGGTGGGAACAGGGGGTACAAAAAAAAACCTGACCTAGACAAGGTCATAAATAAAACAAAAATTAGCATTTACATTTGAACAGGGTTAAACTGTTAAAAAAAAATTATTAAACATTCATAAAACAAATAGCTACATTCCATCAAGCATTTCTCAGGAAACATTTGAATTAATTTCAAATTAAAGATTACATTACTGTTACAGTACAGTTACAGATCAAAGTTAAAGTGCACTTTCAAGTAGTATCTAAGTTTAACTGACATCAGAGTCAATTAAACTTAATTGACTTCAATATTTTTTCATTAAACAATTAATTGTTTTTCTTTTTTTTCTCTTTAGTTTTGTTGCGCAACTCCACAGGAATTAACCAGTTCCAGAGTTCCATCGGCCGTCACCAAAATCAAGAAAAAGTAACAAACTATCCTAAAAAGGACAAATTTACAAAAATCAAAGGGCTTATTTAATACTTTGAGGGTAGGTCTTCTATTCGGCCACAAAAGTAACAAAAAGAGAATGATCTTTTAGGTAATAAGACCATTTTTGAGTCACAAAATACATAAATTGAGTGGGCGTGTCGCCACCGCATTTCTATTATATAAAAAAAACAAAGTACGTAAAATGAACGACTCACCGTCGAGTGGTTGCCAGTTAACACCCAATTTAAGCTCTCGGTCGTGTTAATTTGGCTCGATCCAGCCGTATTCTCCCGTGTGTTTGGAAGACGACAAGCTCACGCAGCTAGCCACAGAGACAGCAGCAATAGCAGTGGAGGGGGGTCAGAGTTCACCTCTCACCCGGAACTTGTATAGTGTGGCATCAGTTTGACCCGCCAAAATAAAATACGGGTTAATTATCTTGTGCAGGTTATACTGTGCTGCGTGCCTAGGGATAAACCCACTAGCGACAGTCTTAAAGGGCGAAGCCTTTACTCATAGAATCTGGGGTTACAGTACGTAACCAATTTCTTTGTTATCCACTGTTGTCATCACTCTGTTGAAATCAGGTCTCTCTTGTAAATGAGTCCCCAAGGCTCACTGGGATTAACCTGACTAAATAAAGGTTGAATGAAAAATCCATATTTATTTCACTTGGTTGTCCACCAGATTAAGGTGAGATCTGGTTGTCGGAGATGAAAATAGGCTGTCTCAGACAAACAGAAACCACTTATGTCAACCCCTACTTACACACCCACCCACACACACACACACACACACACACACACACACACACACACACACACACACACACACACACACACACACACACACACACACACACACACACACACACACTTAGGACAACATCTACACCTTCAGTCTGCCCTGAAACTAACACTCCCTTTCTTACCAGCCTGCAGTCCAGAGCAAAACATGGAGGAGAAGTTCTGCAGTGACAGGTCCACCTCTGAGACTGTGGTCAGTCCCAGCAGCTGGGGCAGCGCCGCAGCCAGCGACTGAACAAACAGCCTGGCACTGTGCTGGTCAGATTCCTGGTTGCAGAGCAGCTTGAGGGACAGGGCCGCGGTGCGCAGGGAGCGGTGACCCTCACAGACGTGTGGCGTCTGCTGCTCCTCGTCGATAAGAGAGACGTTGTCAGAGCCGATGTCAGACACATCCGAGCGTCCAGAGTCTTTCTCAGCAGCCACTGAGTACTGATCACATGAGTCAAACTCTGTCCGGGACAAGTCCTGGTCCTCCATGCTGCTGGACAGAAATAAAACAGAAACAAACATGGAAATATACATTTGGGGATTTTTGCTCTAAAGTTATGGATGTTTTTATTACTATGGCTGAGAATCTTAACTCTGCCCATGAACCATATGTTTGAGTTAGCAGAGAGAGCTGGATGAGGAGCTGGGTGAGCCGGGCTGGACTGAAGTTTGGCAGACAGCTTGTGACTGGTGTGTACTTTATGTATATCTGTGTAACCTCGCAAGTCCTTGCAAGTAAATACCAGTTAAAAATCTTCTCCTGCTGTCGAGTGTGGTTCTTTGAGTTGGTCAGATAAAGTGAGAATATTTTTCTCCAACAACATTCCTTTATTAAAAACCAGAAAGCATAAAACCTAAACTGTATTTGAGTAAAATACATTAAAAGTATCTAAATGACAGTTCAGTTGTGTCCAGGTCTATCTATATGTGACTACTGAACATTGAATGATGGTTTTTGTTATTTTTAATTGGGAAGTCTGAATTACAGAGACTAAAAGAGGGCTGGGCTTTTTGAAGAATTTATTTTCACCCATTTCATCCACTCTGTATGATGTAACTGCTGGTGCCCCACTTCTGGCCACAGCTGGGTGAGGAAGACTAAGAGAAGCATGCCTGCCTGTTCTCACCTTAACTTTACACTCCTAACAGAATGTGCAACAGTTGTTTTCACCAGGCCATCAGGGCATGTTCAAAGCTGCCCTCCATTCTTCCTATCAGAGACTGCAACAAGATGATCCTTCATGCACATGCACTTTACAGCTCCTGCCATGTGAGTGTCACAGTGTGCATGCTTGTTAAACTGAACATTATAACCAGCATCTTGTTTCTGCCTACATTAAAACAACAAACTGATCTGAAGCGTACCGCTGCCAAAACTCATGGCACACCGTTTACGACCAATTTGAAATTTGCTCTGACATTTTTTTGTATGGGTAAAAAACACAGGAGATGTAACTCAAAGACTGTGAATAAACAGAAACATTAAGTGAATACTGGCACTCTTAGTTTAAACAGATGAATAATGAAACATTGACTTGGTCTGATACAAACAGCTCTACCTGAAATTGCTCTCGCTGTACCGTGAGCCTCCGTGGTGCGACTTGGTCCTGGACTCCACTGACAGGAAGTTGGTGATGTCAGGGTAGACGAGTGCATGACTCCTCTGAACCACATCAGGAGGACCACCTCCTTGGTCTCCACTGCTTCTTCCTTTTGCTTCCTGACCAACAACCTCCCCCAGAACATCTCTTCCCTCCTCTGTGTCACCTTTAGATCTGAGCTCCAGGCTCGTCTCACAGCTGACGCCCTCCTGTCCTCCCAAGACAAAAGGTGAAGTGAACCGAGCATCCTCTCCACACTCATCAGGAATCATGTGACCCTGACCCAGGCCGAGGTCCCCGGTCTCCAAGTCTAAAGTGGTTTGGCCCGTTTCTGTGGTGATGCTGATGCTGATGTCAGGACTGTGCTCAGTGGTCATGTTGGAAGAACTGGGGTCCCATAGGGGCTGCTCCGAGGACAGGATGTGTCTCTGCCATCTAAAATCAGCCTCATTGAGCTCCATGGATTCCCGAGTTGATGATGATCGCTCCTTCAGGTCATCCAGTCTTCTGAGAAGAAGTGAAGCCTGCAGGAGGAAGCACACGTCATTGGTGTTTCATGTATGTAACTGCTCAGCCAGATGTTCACTTGCTGGTTTTGGCTTCATGTTCGATTTGTACCTGCTCAGACTGGAGGCCACGACCCTGTGCCAGTTCATCCAGTGTGCCAATAAGAGCGCAGGCGCAGGAAACTGAGGAGTAACACGCATCGATGCCTCCCTTCATACAAGCCTCTGTCATTCCATCCATTATCCTTCCACAGCAAGAAAACACAAAAACACAACAACTTGGTTCATTTGATGAGACTAAATATAATTTAAGATTCAAACTTTATACGAATGAGGAAATATTATTTTCCCGGATAATTTTCTAAGCTTTCAACTAATGAACAGTTTTTAATCCAAACCAAAGAACTAAAAAAGGTGAGGAGCAGAACTTAACCTGATCCACGTGGATCTCAATGTATTAAACACGTGATGGACATCTTCCAGTTATTTTCAAAACATGACCAACAAACTAGCAATTCTCTGTATGATTAATCATTTTTTAATAAATGCAAAGTTGATTTGAGTCATAAGTAATATTCCCTCTATTATAATTCTGTTTACTGTTTTTTAATTCCCTGCGTGGTTGGTTGCACAGATAATGATCATCACTCTATCCTATTATTGAGCCACGGCACCTGCTTCTCTGTTCACACGTAGGCCTGTCAGAATAACAAATTTTGCTGGGCGATTAATTGTCTCAGAAATTATTGCAATAAACAATAATATTGTTTGAAATTTGACAATAATTAGTAACTATTGTCAAATTTAAGAAGAAATTTGTTTGCATGTAGTACCTTTTTTGACCACCAGATGGCAGAATAAGCCTGTTTGAACCAAAGGATGGACAGTGTAAGCAGTGCGTCTAAGAAAAATGGGAGGGAGGCCCCTTGAAGTGACGTGCTATCTTTGTTCGGTTCTCAAAATAGAGGACGCTCCGTGTGGTTTGAGCTCTTTAACATAGCATTTTTCACACAAAGCTTTTAATTAAAAAAATCAGTAAACAAGTTCTCAGCTTCTTTTTGCAGAGAAAAACAACTTTTTAGACCAAGGCACAAGGCCGGATTAACCATATGGGCAACTGGGCAAGTGCCAGGGGTCCACGATCGCTAAGGGGCCCAGGGCAGTGAGGGCACAAGCAAAATATCTGGTTATCTCCAGCTTTACTTGGAGCCCTGCACTGCACAAGAGAGACTGCCTTGCTGGGCTGCCCCGCCTCCTCCCAGCACCGCTGCGCCGCCCCGCCTCCTCCCAGTGCTGCTGCTGCAGCTGTTTTTTTTTTTTTCTTTTTCTCTGAGCCGGATGCTCGATAGTGCGACCTGTCAATCAATCCAGTAGGCATGTCAGCAACTGACCAATCAACAACCTCAATTTGTCCCGAAGGTAAACGCCCCTTACCTGCTGACAAGCTCGTCAGCTTTTTTTCTAGAACTTTATTAACAACACAAAACAGAACAATGCAACAATATACAAATACAAACTCGTGAAGGGTGTCATAACTACATTTCACAAAATAATGAAAGAGAAAAAAAAACATTAAAAATTAAATAAATTTTAAAAAAAGGAGCATGACTATATGAAAAACTTGTTTTAATTAAAACAAGTTTGTATCTGTTGTGAGATGTTTCTAGCAGTTTTACAGTTTTTGAATCTACTTAATGAAGAATAGAATGACTTCAAATCGTTCATAAAACAGGAAGGAAGACTTATTATCCCTCCTCTTACTACAGTGAATGTGGTACTTTGCTATAAGTAAGACTATATTTTTGGCATCAGAGAAAGCTGAGCTTAACTTATCCACATAAAGTAAAATGGCATCAGCATGAAAAGAAGGAATATTAAGTTTGAGATTAATCCAGTTTCTGATGTCTGACCAAAATAGTTATTGAATCAAGTGTTTACTTGTGTAGGTAAAACTAGATGTTAAACAACCATTAAAATACACCAGAATGCAGGAAATGGCATCTACTTTATTCAAAATTTTCTGGGGGAGGACTCCTAGAACCCCCCAGTATGTCAACCCCCCCCCCCCCCCCCCAAACCACCACCACATTACAAATGCTTCTGACACAATTGGCCAACACGTTGCTAAACAAGTACACATGGTGTCATATGGTGTTCAA